TAAAAAGAACCCAAAAAACTAAAAGTAACAACAAAATTATTTAGCATGGTATATTGTCCCTTTGTTGTTGTTACTGTTGTGTGCCACTGAGTCACCTGCAATGCATAGTGACCCTACGTACAACAACTCTGAACCTAGACCTAACCTGAGATAGTGTCACTGAGATAGTGACACACCTAATGGCTTTGCCCTAGTTATCCTGTCATTCCATCTCATATGGGTTCTTCTTTTCTTGCACCGTCCCCTCAACACTTCCGAGCATGATGTCCTTCTCCAAGGACTGGTTCCTTGTGACCATGTGCACAAAGTATGTGAAACAGAACTTAAAAACCCTAGCCTCCAAGGAGAAACTTGGTTTCACTCTCTTCAAGACAGACCTATTTGTTCTCTTGGCAGTCCATGGTACATTCAATACTCTTCTCCAGTACCACAATTCATAGGTGTCAATTCTTCTGTCGTCCTTCATCATTGTCCAGCTCTCTGATGCACTGCATGTAATTGCAAAGATCATGGTTTGAATCAGACACACCTTAGTCTCTAGACTGACATCATTGCTCCTCAGTACTCTGAAGAGTTCCCTGACAGTAGACTTCCCCAATGAAATTCGTCTTTTGATTTCCTGTTTGTTTCCTTAGCTTTTCATCTTAACCTTATATTGAATCCAGTTCTTTACAACTCTCTCTTAATTTTTGCTTTCTTATCTTTTCCAGGCTTCCTACACAAGCTAAGGTGATACAGAGGTTGACAACAAAAGCTTCTCACAAAATTACATATAATAGCTCAAACAAAAATAAATAACAAAATTTCAAATAAAAGTGTTAAGAGAATGTCATGGCACTGTACCTTCTGCTATTGTGATTAGTCTCTGACAGTTCTTTCCCATTCTTTTGGATCTTTCCTTTTAAGAGCGAGTGTCACAGGATCAAGAGTGTGGCCTGTGTTGTGCCCACTCTGGAAATCAAAAACTGTACCTGTTCTCTGGATCATTAGATAAATGACTAGCTCAAGCTTATTGTTATCAATGCCAACGCAAACAGGTTTACAATGGCACTTGTCATATTCTTCTGTCTTAACGCTAATTACTAATCACTGCCAAAGGGCGTTAGGATGAAAATTGCTAAGAACTAGATCCACTCCAGCCAAATTTGGCTCACATACTTTAGAGTTTGAACTACTGTTAGATTCATCTAGAAGGCACAGCTCAGCACTGATAGAAAAGGGTTATGCTACTTTATATAAAAGATAGCATGTATTTTTTTAAAATTAATTTTAATGAATGTATACAGAGATTTTGGATTTCCATACATTCATTGTTGCATTTTTCTGTGCCCAGCCCCCCCACCCGAGTTTGCTCTTCTCTTTGAAAAGTAAAAGAAAAATTATTTCATTGGTATTAGAATCCCCCCTCCCGCCCCGAGTACACTCTACTATGCAACCTTCATTCTGGACTCTTGTCATACCATAATAACCAATCATACATCACTTTCAAACAGTTTTCTCCCTCATCTGTTTCAATGCAGTATGCATAATTTATCCAATTTTTCTCGGTCTCACTCCAACTGTGATGTCAGTCCTGTTCTACAATAGTGGCACCATGCAGCACCTGTCCTTTTGTGACTGAGATATTTCACTCTGCATAATGTCATCTGAGGTCACCCATTTTGAATAATATTGCATGAGTTCCTTGTTTTTCAATGCAGCATAGCATTCCATTGTGTGGATACACTAGAGATTCTCTATCCATTCGTTTGTTCATGGGCACTTAGGTTGTTTCCAACTCTTTGCTATTGTGAACAAAGCTGCAATAAACATGGGTGTGCATATATCTGATTGGGTAGCAGTTATGGTTTCTTTAGGGTATATTCGCAGTAGTGGAATTGCTGGGTCAAATGGTATCTCTATTTGCAACTTTTTGAGAAAGTGCCATACCACTTTCCACAGTGGTTGCACCATTTTACACTCCTACCAACAGTGAATAAGGGTTCCAGTTTCTCCACAACCTCTCCAGCATTTGTTGTTTGCTGCTCTGTTAAATTTTGCTATTCTTACTGGGGTGAGATGATCTCATAGTTGTTTTGATAACATGTATTATTTTTTAAAGGCAAATTAGGTTTGTGTTTTGCATGCTTGGCAAACCAGTGACATAGCCTTTAGTTAAATTAGAATAGGCTTTTTAAAAAACATAACATCTTCCATTGTCGAGCCAATGCTTTTTCTCAAGAACGTAAAGAATAGCACTCCTGTGTGCTTTCTATACACACGTCTTTCACAGAAATCTCTTTTCTATTATGTAGTCATTTAAAATGATATAAAGGCTTACAATAATGCAAAATAAGAGCCATTTCAGAAAAATATTGGCAAATGCTTAATTAAATAGGTTAAACAAACATGTTCTTGTGTACACAGCTGACCCTGCAGTGAGTTTTCAGAGGCAGTAAATCGCATGGAAGGAGACTGTCCATCTTTCTCCCATGGAGCAGCTTGTGGATTCAAACTTGGGTTGGCAGTGCAACTCCTTACCACTAAGCTACCAGAGTTTCCTTAAATAAACATAAGAGAAGCAATTTAGATTTCAAGAAAATGCTAGTGCATAAAAATCATGGCATCCCTAAAACCTTTGCCAATGGATCTCCCTTCTTTCTTCAGTTTCAAAATTTAGGCATGGCCCTTAATACCTTTTACCAGAGGCTTAGGAACAGAGCTTACCTTCCTTCTTTTCTTAATATTTCATTTTTCCCTCTCTGTTGGCTCCTTCTCATTTAATTTCAAAAAGCTGAAAACCCTCCCATTCTAAATAAGAACCTTTATTTATTATTGTACCATAGAGTTGGAATTGACCCACAACTGACCCTCCAACGAGTTTTCAAAGACAGTTAATCACATGAGAAGAGATTGCCCATCCTTCCAATATATCAATATATGCCTCCAATATAGACAATATATGATGGCAGGAACACTTTTTTTCCCCCCCAAATTTCAATCCAGTCTTCTGATTTGATAATTAAAGGCCACCAAATTCTTTCACTGCATTTTTTTTTTCTTTTATACTGATTTATTTACAAAGCTTGAATACATTTTTCACAAAAGATCCTTCCCATTTCCTTCACCCTCCCCCCACTCATGGAATTGTGCAACCCTGTGATTAACACCCCACCACCACCCAGCCCATTCTCGTCCTCTGCTTCCACCCTTCCCGCTTTGGATCCTCATACTCACTCTACCCTAATGTCTACTGCTTTTATGATAAACATTCAACAGTAATCTTTTTCTGATAAGTTGGTATTTATTATCCTAGTCCTTATCTATCTCCTCAGCTTGAACCTTTCTTTGCACTCCTGTTCTCAGAGACAAGAGACCTATCTCCTTTTCTAAGCTCTCTACTTTCCCTTTCTCTTTGAACATGCTATTTGCACTGCCTGTAAATTAGCTACTCACACAATCAACATACTCTTCTAGCAGATCTTAAGAATCATGTCAGAAGAGGCATCTTCTCTGTTTTCTGGATGGAAAAATTCACACATTCTCCAAGTATTTTTCAAAATTGGTTCTGAAGGCTAAATATCCCATTTCCAGGTGGCTATGTGCGCCAATGCAATCTAAAGCCTCTCAAACCCTCTGGAGCATCAACTACAATTAAGTTCTATTAGCAGTAATGAGTTTGTTGATAATTGGGTAATAATCTGAAAACCATGGAATTTATTATCAGATACTTATCTGCCTTTCTTTGTACTTCCACATACATGACCCCAGGCCATTTTGAGTAGTAAACATTTTTTTTAAATTTTATTATTTTTGTATGAGTGTACCATCAAATCAGATCTGACTGGTACGGGAGGAGATTGTCCCTCCTTTCCTGGCAGAGCATCTGGCGGATTCGAGCCATGAGCCTCTGGGATTGTAGTTGCAGCTCCTTGCCACTAGGCCACCAGAGCTCCCCAGTAAACGATATTTGAAGCAAATTGTTACCCTTGATTCCCATCAAGTTGGAAGCAAACCATAGCGGATTTTTCTGGTTTTCTGGGCAGTAAATGGCATGGGAATAGACTGCTCATCTTTCTCCTACAGGGTAGCTGTTACTGTCAATGAGTTCATTCAACTTTATACATCAGCTATGATTCAGATCCTTTCAATCTGTTCTACATCAGTTTCTATAGATAAACCACATGGGGAACTCTGGTGGCCTAGTGGCAAGAAGCTATACTGCAATCCCCCCCCCCCAAAAAAAAAACCAACCTGTAGAAGGGAGGAAGAGGAGAGTAAAATTTAATAAATAGATTGAAAGGAAGATAATACACAAAAAGGGGTTGTTGACTAGACATTTTAATTAATTAATTAATTAATTACAAGCAACGGCCATTAATGTTATAAAAAGAAAGCTCTACTTTTAATTCACTGGTAAGAAAACTCAATATGATCTGTAAAATTTTGCTCAAATGAGAATAAATATTTAAAAAAAAAAAAGAAGCTATACTGCAATCCCAAAGGTACACGGTTCAAATCCACCAGATGCTCTGCCGGAGAAGGAGGGACAATTTCCTCCTGTACCAGTCAGATCTGATTTGATGGTACTTGCACAAAAAATAATAATAATAATAAATTATAGATAAACCACACATAATAAATGTGTTAAAATTAACAGGTACATTAGTTTTAATCCTTTACATGCAATACACCACAAAAGCAGCTTGTGAAGTCTTGACTCAGTATTTTTTCAAAAATAGAATTTATTATACTTCAGCTGGTTTGTATGCCACAAGACAGTCATTTTTGTCTAGCTGCCATAGTTGTTAGTTACGTATACTGCATAGCTATAGATAGCAAAGGTAAAAATCACTTTTCTGACAGAACTGATCGCTCAGAGTGTTATCATTCAAAGATGTAGACAGAGAAAATATTTAGAGACTGCCTTTGCTTTTTCAAGAAATCTAAGCAAACATAAGGGGGAAGGGTGAACTATAACCACATATTTTTCCCACAGCAAAGCAAGTAAAGGCACTTACGTATATCACCCAAGGTTCCCTTTGTCACTTTGGTTGCCCTTAAGACCACAACTGAGAACTTGTAGGAATACTGGTGCTCCACCTGGAAACAAAATGACAAGGTATGAGAAAACAAGAATCCAATACAGAATGCCAATTAATGGCTCTCCTGTGTTCCCTGAAACTAATTAGAATGATTCTAGTTGGAAATGAACTCACAAGCATACCTGAAACATTCTTTTATCTGCAGACAATGGTCCTTCTTCTGAGGCCTTCCTCTTCTCCCACCCCAAACTCACTGAGAAGTTTAGGTCACATTTTTAAACTATCACTCCCAGGAAACCATCCGGAACTCCTCTACTGCTGCCAGGTGTAGGAGTGCTCAGACTAAAATGCACATCAGGACTTCAAGCCTTCCAGTTGTACAATCAGGCTTTTTATTGGTTAACTAGGAAGCCCTGGGGTCAGAATGTGATGTCAAAGCAAGGCGGTTACATTACGTGTGTGTGTTTGTTTTTTATTGCTCCTGTTCAATCAATTGAAAGACCTTTTTTTTCCTCCCTCTGAAAGTCACTGCCAAGATGGCTGGCAAAATCCACTGGACCATAAACAAGACAATTAGAAGCAATTAAAAAAAAAATACTTAGTCATAACACATTATTTATCATTCATATGCCATAATATTAAACATTTCTAGTAGGAAAACTATCAGCTGTATACATAATAAATATTAACCTTCACAAATAGAAGAATTCATTAAACACTTCACTGAACTAGAAATTGGTTATTCAAAACCCTCATCACTAAAAAAGAATAGGGAAGCAGGAACTCAAATATTTCTCCAAGGGTCTGACAAGATTCTAAGTCTTTCATGGGAGTTAAAGCATTCTTTATTTAATCTTAGAAGACACCTAAATCCAGAAGCTGCTCATATCTTCTTGAATAGGAGCGGGCTCAACTTTTGGGTCGTAAGTTCACCATCATTTTAAAGAAATTTTAGATATGTACAACACCAAGGGGGTGATGGAACTTAAAAGCAAAGAGAAAGAAGAAAAAATAGAAATTATACTTATTCAGATATACTTTTTAAAAATACTGTCCATATCCAAAGACTTATGGCTAGCTCATAATTTTATTCTACATAAATGAAGTTATCAATCAGAAAAACTCCCATAAAAAATGAAAAGTATCTTGCCATCAAGTCCATCATGGCTCACGGTGGCCCTGTGTGCCACAGAGTGGAGGAGAATGGGGCTTTACAGACTGAAACTTTTTATTCTATTTTAAATTTTTTTCTCATTTTTATTTCACATTGATTTGCATATAAAATTTTTATACATTGTGCTACATACTCTCTTTCATTTATATTGCATTTCATACAATTATTCCCATAAATTGTGTTTTATAAAATTAATCTCCAGTCACTGGAGATTAACTATAATTAGTAATAATTACATAATACAGTGTATTCTTCCCAAAATCATCTCTGCTTTTTTTTGTGTGTGTGTGTGTGTGAGTGTACCATCAAATCAGATCTGACTGGTACAGGAGGAGATTGTCCCTCCTTCCCCGGCAGAATATCTGGTGGATTTGAACCAAGCGCCTCTAGGATTGTAGTTGCAGCTCCTTGCCACTAGGCCACAAGAGCTCCCCATCTCTGCTTTTTTGATCCTCACGCCTATGCTCCCCCCTATATGTTTTACTAGCTATCATTCTATTTTTACGATAATGGTCACATCAAAACCTTTTTTCAATAGGGTGAAAAGAAAATTTACTGACTGGGAAAAAGCATTTGGCAATATCATCTCAGACAAGGATCTCAGAACAAAAGTTTACAGAATACTACAGAGCTATAAGAAAAAGACTGGAACCCAATTACAAAACAGGCAAAAGTCATTGAAAGACTTTTCAGAGAAGAAGACATTTGGATGACCAACAGATAATTGAAGAAATGCTCAAAATTACTGGCAATAAGAGACGCAAATCTACAATGAGATACCATCTCAGTCCAGTCACAGTGGCAAAGTTTAACAGGACAGTAATCAATAAATAAATGTTGGAGAGAACGTGGAGAGACTGGAACTCTCATGCACTGTTGGTAGGATTGTAAAATGGTACAGCCATTCTGGAAGGCAGTTTGACATTTCCTCAAATAGCTGAATGTAGAAATTCCATATGACCCAGCTAATCCACTGCTAGGAATATAGGCAAGGGAAATTAAAACTGAGACACAAAGAAAGATTTGTACAGTAATGTTCATAGCAGCATTATTCAAATCAAAAGAACATGGAAACAGCTCAAATGTCCAGCCACCATCACATGGATTGAGAAATCATGGTACATTCCCACAACAGAATATTGTGCAGCACTCAGAAGCAAAAATTTCAAAAAAAAACTGTAAAACTTGAGGCTGAAATTTTTAAGGAGGAGATTGCCTGGTCTTTCTCTTAAAGATTGGCTGAGTGGTCTGAACAAAATGTTTAGTTAGCTACCCAGCACAAACAATTTGCACCAGGGATCTTATTAAAAAAAGACATAAATCCTTTTTTTTCATATTAAAATAAAAGTGTTGCCTTGCATTACAACTGAAAAGCATTCATGCACTCCCTTCTCAGGAACCCTATTTACATACTGTGATGGTAATTCTAAATTACTGCTACCTAACAGAAAAATTCCATTGGGAAAGTCTGCTGTCAGAGACCTTTCCAAAGTATTGAGTAGCAACAATGTCAGTCTGGAGACTAAGGTGTGCCTGATCCACGCCATGGTCTTTGCAATTACTTGCTATGCATCAGAGAGCTGGACAACGACTAGGGATGAGAGAAGGAGAGTTGATGTCTTTGAGCTGTGGTGTTGGAGAAGAGTATTGAATATACTATGGACTGCTAGAATAACAAGTTCATGCTGGAGAGGGTGGAACCAGGCTGCTCCTTGTAGGCAAAGATTCTGAAGTTTCATCTGACATACTTTAGACATGTTGCAAGGTGGGATCAATCCCTGGCGAAGAATGTCATGCTTGGGAGGATGGAGGGACAGTGCAGGAGAGGAAGACCCTCGATGACATGGATTGATTCAGTCACTGGGGTAATAGAGATAGGTGTGTCAGAGACAATAAGATTGACACAGGATAGAGCAGTGTTTAGGGCTGTTGTACATAGGGCCACTATGAGTCGTAGGTGTTTCGATGGCACATAACAGCAACAACACCCCCCAAATTATCACATTAACACTCTTAAGAATACATGCTTGCTATTTAACTTCATAAGCATTCTGAATTAAATATGCCTAGTTAAAAATATATCACTTATAAATAATGGGCCAACCTACAAAGGATGCAAAATTACTTTGAGTCTTTAGGTTAACCATCAACTCTTTTAAATCACTGAGGTAATGTATAACATACTAAAGTGTCAAACAATACCTGGGTTTGAAATTCAAGTTAGCAAATGCCTGCCCTACCAAAATCAAGATCGAGATTAGCTTTCTTCACTAAAGATTAACTCTAACTAGTAGTAATTACATAATATATTGCATCCTTCCCCAAATCATGTCTGCTTTTTGACCACATCTTAGGACGTCTGGTGTTTCAAAGATGCAAATTGCAAGTAATGTCCTTTTGTATTCTTTGTCACTTGATGTTGAGAGAGGATTGCCTGTGTTATTGTGTCTGATAATAAGCATGGTGCAGAATTGGAAAAGTTTTCATCTTGGGTTGGTTGTTTATATAGGATCACCAAGAATTGTAGCTTTTTATATCATTTATGAAGTAAAGGGGAAAAGTTTTAAAAAGAATGTAGTCTCTTTCTCCCAGCTTTAAGGATTAACAGAGACTATCTATAAGCTTGAAAACTCATTGCAATCTATCTAATCAGAACCAGGTTCCAGCTGACCTTCCAGAGGGTTGTTAGAGGCTGGGAATCACATGGGAGGAGATGATGCACCCTTTCCCCAGGAGCTGCTAGTGGATTTAAACCACTAGAATGGCATTTCCTTTAGTTAACAGTGCAACTCCATACAAACTATCAGAAATTCCTCATATCTATAAAGTAGCTCTTATAACAGTAAGCACGGGACAGCCGCTGACTGAAAGATTGTTGAGGAAATGTGAAAGACATAAGCAAAGATTTTGACATTTCTACTTTATAAATTATGGAGGAAAAATAAATAAACAAATTATGGAGGAAACACCTAGCAATATGCTCCTATAAAGATTACAGCCTGGAATACTCTGTTGTTGCAGTTGTTTTTTTACAATCAAGTTAGAGCAAACTCATAGTTGACCCTCCAGCAAGTTTTCAGAAACAGAAAAGTTCCCATCTTTCCTTGATAAGTACCTTTGGATTGGCAGTGCAATTCCTTACTACTAAGCCACCAACCATCCCTCTAGAAAACCTACAGGGCAATTACTCTGTGTCAATCGGAGTCACTTATGAGTCAAGAAAAACTGGATATTAACTGTTGTTGTTATGTGCTGTCAAGTCGCTTGCGACTCATAGCGACACTATGTACAACAGCCCTAAACTCTGCTCTGTCCTGTGCCAATCACACTGTGTCCGATACACCCATCCCGATTATCCCAGTCACTGAATAAATCCACCTCATACAGGGCCTTCCTCTCCTGCACTATTGCTCCACCCTATCAAGCATGATGTCCCTTTCCAAGGACTGGTCTTTCCTTACAACATGTCCAAAGTGTGTTAGATGGAGCCTCAGAATCCTTGCCTCCATGGAGCCGCCCAGTTGAACCCCTTCCAGGATGAATCTGTTTGTTTTCCTAGCAGTCCACGGTACCCTCAATACTCTTCTCCAGCACCACAGCTCAAAGGCATCAATTCTCCTTCTATCCTCCTTAGTCATTGGCCAACTCTCTGATGCATAACAAGTGATAACAAAGACCATGGCCCGTATCAGATACACCTTAGTCTCCAGAGTGACATCATTGCTCTTCAGTACTTTGGAGAGGTCCCTAACAGCAGATTTTCCCATGGCAATACATCTTCTAATTTCCTGGCTGCTGGTGCCAAGAATATTGACTGTGGAGCCGAGCAGACTAAAGCTGTGAACAATCTCAATCTAACTACCAGAACAAAATATATAAACAAAACCAAACCTAAACTTGCTGCCATGCAGTAGCTTCTGGCTCATATCAATCCCACAGAACAGAGTGGAACTGTCACAAAGAGTTTCTAAAGCTGTAAATCTTTATGGGAGCAGTCACAACTTTCTCTTAAGGGGC